AACCGGGGGGGGGGGAAGTTTTGATATGCCTGTACGGGAGAACTTGGCAGTGACAGATTTAACAGAAAAAAAAATGCATCCACCGCCTGTCTCTGTGTGTATGCTCCTCCTACCTCTGTGTCTTGTCATGTCTTTTTTTTTTTTTTTTTCCCTCTCGCATATCAGTGCGTTAGAGTATTGTGCCATGTTCGCTATACACGACTCCCCAAAAAAAAAAAAGCATGACTGTAGCAACAGACTGTTTCGTCGGGCTTCCCCCAACTCACCTGGAGGTTGTGTGTCCACTCTGTTATCACAACAACTGTCCCCACAACAACCCCTTTTCCACCCAGACGAGTAGATCCAAATGGAAACAGCTTTTACGCGCGAGGGGAAAAAAAAAAAAAAAAAAAAAAAAAAACCAACAACAACACAGCTTTACCTCCTCTATAGCAAACAACAAGAAGCACAATAAAACCGTTCTGTTGCCTTTGTATCTTGAGCAGTCCTTTCTTCGCATTTGGACAGAAAGTTGCGCCCAATACACACCTATATAGTGCCCGGGCGTTCAATTCGGGTGAAGACGGCGGGCCCTTACTTTGGAGTTTATGTGCGTTTAGAGGTTGTGTGAGTGTACGCGTGTGCGCGTCTGTGCGCATATATGGGTGATTTTTGTCCTTGTGTCTGTCTGTGCGCGCGATCCGTGGGTTCTCGTGTCTGTTACGCACGGGATAAACACAACTCCACAGAAAAAAAAAAAAAAAAAAAAGTTGACTGTGTGACCGACAGACTATTTCGTCGGCCGGCTTTCGGCTTTCGGCTTTCACCTACTCATCAATCAAGAGGTTAAGAGCCTACACAATCCGAACACGATGCATTTGACTGGGTAATTGATGGGTAAGGAATCTCCACCACCTCGCCCAACATTAGCCACAGATGTCATTTTTTTGAGAGAGAAAAAAGTGGTCGGTTTTTTTTTCACACCCAAACCCTGCAATCCTCACTGCCTGCCTACTCAGTCCAAACCCCTGACCCCTGACAATTCCCTACAGGGGGAGGGGAGGGAAGGGGGGGATTAGTAAAGCCCAAGGGTACCGTCGTCACCCGAATAGAACGCCCGGTGATTCTATAGCTCTATTTGTTGCTAACTTGACGATATATAGCGATAAAGACCGGGGGCGTTCTATTAGGGTGAA